TACATGCTGATCTGGAGCAAATGCCCCACCAAGCAGAGGACCAGATGAGTCACAGTGCCTGACCGCTACCACCCACCACCTCCCTCCCTGCAGCCATGAAACCAAAAAGCAAAATATCCCTCAGGAGATGGGGGAGTTTTACTTTGCAGTCTACCAAAACTTCAGCCAACAGAAATAAAAAGGGATTATATTAATGGAAATAGCAACCCATAGTTACAGACTAAGAGGAGGTGTAAACACCTCCGCATGTCGGTGCTGTTAGGGTTTAAATTAACAGAGCTGGGCAAACTCCTATATACAGCAAGCACATACCTGGTGCACACCCACACAGCATCTAGCACCGTGACAATCCTCCTATAATCTCTGGCATTGGCTGGCATGAGGCAGGCATTAATTCTAGCAGATCTTCCTTGTGTTTGTATCATAGCTATGTTTTTACTGAAAATAATATAACTACTGTTCTAGCTCTCAAAGCCGAAACACCAGAGATTAGTTTGCATCAAAATAATGAAAACACAGATGTTCGAGTGTGGTACATAACACAACTAGTCTATACAGATACTGAGTCTGACTGTGATGTTGCCATAGACCAGCTCTGTCTGCATCAGACTGACACACTACAAATTGTAGACACACATGGATTCACAGGTCTCATGTTTCAAGCACAGGTCAGCTGCCGTGTTGCTCTTCTCAAACCATCTTCTTTCTTGCTGTCTACATGAGGATCTTGGGTTTCATTTCGAAGAGCTAAAACCTCTAACAGTAAAAGAAAAAACTAAGAATTTGCGCTAGAGAGAACCTGAAGACTGAAAAGAAACCCTCCACACCAGAGAAGCCAACTTTTTTTTATTTAAAAAACACAGTCTGAAAACCATTACTTTAAGTGACTGATTTGTTTTGTTGGGGGAAGGGTGACAAGGGTGACAAGGGTGACAAGTTGTCACGGGCTGCAGGGACAGAAAGGAAACCCTGTAATGAATCAAAGGCTGTTCATGCAAAGCGTTTAAGGCCTCACATTCACCACTATTATAAACCAGCACGAGCAGCTGGCGGGGTCCCAGCTGCGCATTCCCACTTTGTGCTGGCCCCAGCGCAGAATTCCGAGGTACAGGGATCAGCAATTTGGTTCCCTCTACCTTCTCCTACCCCACACCAACAGTAGTGCCATCCCAGACAAGAGGATCTCTCCGCATGGTGGGACAGCAATTAAACACTGCTCTCAACACAGCTCAAAGTCAAGTCCATGGCAGGTTTCTTGGCGGAAAAAAAAACAGTTACTGCACTCAGACAAGATCGTAGACAAAGATAACCCAGAATTTACTAGCCAAGGACTTTTTGGATAACACTGCAGAAGCCATAGTAAAACAATGTATGATCTGAACAGTCAAGTTATCTATTTTTTCTGTTTTATAGTATCTTAAATCTTTCACTAAAGGGCAAGCCTGCCAAAGACTTTTGGATGGTATGTGCTCAGGCAGACAAAGATTCATAGAAACATAGAATGTTTTGGGTTGGAACGGACCTTAAAGCCCCTCTAGTCCCAACCCCCCTGCCCCGGGCAGGGCCCCCTTCCCCCAGCCCAGGGTGCTCCCAGCCCTGTCCAACCTGGCCTTGAACCCTTCCAGGGAGGGGGCAGCCACAGCTGCTCTGGGCACCCTGGGCCAGCACCTCCCCACCTGCACAGAGAAGAATTTCTTCCTGAGTTCTCATCTAAATCTCCCCTCTCAGTTTAAAACCATCACCCCTCATCCTGTCCCTACTCCCCCTGATCCAGAGTCCCTCCCCCCCTCTCCTGCCCCCCCTTTTAGCCCTGGGAGGCCGCTCGAAGGGCTCCCCGGAGCCTTCTCTTCTCCAGGCTGAACCCCCCAACTCTCTCAGCCCGGCCCCCCAGGGGAGCTGCTCCAGCCCCCCCAGCATCTCCGTGGCCTCTTCTGGCCCCGCTCGAGCAGCTCCGGGTCCTTCTGCTGTTGGGGGCCCCCGAGCTGGCCCCAGCACTGCAGGGGGGTCTCCCCAGAGCAGAGCAGAGGGGGAGAATCCCCCCCCTGGCCCTGCTGCCCCCCCTGCTCTGGCTGCAGCCCAGGGCACGGGGGGGTTCTGGGCTGCGAGTGCACGGGGCTGCCTCACGGGCAGTTTTCCCCCCACCAACCCCCCCAGTCCCTCTCCTTGGGGCTGCTCTCCAGCCACTCCTCGAGGGCCCAGCCTGGGTTTGTGCTGGGGATTGCCCCGGCCCACGGGCAGGCCCTTGCCCTTGGCCTTGTTGAACTCCATGAGGTTTGCCCGGGCCCCCCTCTCCAGCCTGCCCAGGTCCCTCTGGGTGCCATCCCTGCCCTCCCGTGTGTCCCCCACCACACAGCTGGGTGGTGTTGGTGAACTTGCTGAGGGTGCATCGATCCCACTGTCTGTGTCACCAAAGACGTTAAACAGCGCCAGGCCTAACACCAACCCCTGAGGAACATCACTCATCACTGCTCTCCGCTTGGACATCGAGCCATTGACCACAGCTCTTTGAGTGAGACCATCGAGTCAATTCCTTACCCACTGAGTGATCGATCCATCAAACCCATGTCTCTCCGATTTAGAGACAAGGATGTTGTGAGAGACAGCATCAAGTGCCTTGCACAAGTCCAGGTAGATGACGTCAGTTGTTCTTCCCTTGCCCACCAACTCTGTAACCCCGTCACAGAAAGCCACCAGATTCCTCAGGCCCGATTTGCCCTTAGTGAAGCCCTGTTGCCTGTCACCAGTCACCTCCTTATTTTCCATGTGCCATAGCATAGATCCAGGAGGATCCACTGCACGATCTTGCTGGGCACAGAGGTGAGACTGACTGGCCCACAGTTCCCCAGGTCTTCCTTTTTCCCATTTTTAAAAACGGGGGTTATGTTTCCCCTTTCCCAGTCAGTGAGAATGTCACCGAACTGCCACAACTTGTCAAATATGATAGCCAGTGGCTTAGCCACTTCATCCGCCAGTTCCTTCAGGACCCTCAGATGCATCTCATCAGGTCCCATGGACTTGTGCAGCTTCGGGTTCCTTAGACGGTCTTGAACCTGTTCTCCTACAGTGGGTTTGTTCTTCATTCTCTCAGTCCCCACCTTTGCCTTCCACACCTTGGGCGGTGTGGCTGGACCCCTTGCTAGTGAAGGCTCAGGCGAAAAAGTCACCGACTACCTCCGTGTTCCTCCTTCTAGTGAGGGCCCACATTTTTTTTAGTCTTCAGATTTTACTATGACTCGTTGGATTTCTTACGAAGACTGTCAAACACATCACTCTAAAGATATATAGCCATCCTCCTCACTAAGAGGTTGCCATGCCATCTGCAACACACCTTTGTCTTGTTAAACAGAACAGTTTTAAGAGAAGTAATAATATTCTTCTCAAAGGCATACAATGATAGCTACAATACCCAAAGACTCAGAGTAACTGTTTCCTACTTAATTATCCCAAATAGTATCATCACACACAAAGGCACATCCACAAGACACTTTTTCACTGACACCCCTGCAACATTCCAGCAGGAACACACAACATCTGGAAAATTAGCAAATAAGGTTTTTTTATTTCATTCTCATTCTCAGCCCTACCGCACCGAACTGTGTTAAAATACTGTGCACCACTAAGGCCACTGAAAACTTGGGAAGAATAAAATAAGTATTTCCATATCCCAGCTCAGTCCATTTCAAGAAGTGTTACTGCAGCAAACAGAATGGCATGCAACAACATGATTTTATACTGAACCTAACCTGATTGATACATAACCTATTTTGCTCAAGAAATGCAAAAATGGTTATTTCCACATTCTAGATCTAAATATAGCTGACGGCTCCCTCAAGTATCACCTGCAAAATGTAATGCTTATGGGATACTGCTTCAAAGCCCTTGTGGAACTTCAAATGATTTGCAAGTCTTGCACTCTGTCCTGTTAAACTGCCTGAAGACAATGGTAAAATCTCTCCTCCAAAAACACTACCACAAGCTTACCCAGGAACCTGACTTCTCAGCCTGAGAGGCACAACAAGATCCAATACACAGAAGTTACACAAAGACTAATAAGATACAGAGAGCTACAGAGGGCACCCAGTAGGCAGACACTAATGATGTAAGCAAAGCACACCATTCTTTTTCCTCCAAAGCATGAAATTCCAACTTTAGTTTAAGAAGCACAATGAATATCACAAAAGTTTCTGCAGAAAATTAGTCAGTTTCAGAATGAGCCGTTTCCACAATTAAACAAAGAACAGGGGGTTACATGAGCTGAAGATACACTGCTGACCATGTACATTATACTCCTAACATACCACTGAATACCAGAAAATTTAAAAGGATGGTTCTAAGCCACAGGACCCTCCATGCCCTCTTCTGGCAGCAGCTACACCAGTTAAAGAAGCTGCTGCCAGAAACTGGTGGCCGCCAGAGTCTCAGAGAAGTGGGCAGTGATGACACCGATTTCTCTCGCACCCCTGGGCTGGCCAAGAAACGCTTTATTGCTCCAGACAGAGAAGCACATAGAGCTTAACCATCTTCAGTTAGTTTGGGTCAGTTGGGTTTTTTTTTAAAATACCTCCCTATGTTCAAATACATTTTTACTGAGTGCATAGAAATAGCACATTGCATTAGGGTTTTGATTTTGGGGTTTTGTTTTTTTTTTCATATATTTTATGGAAATGGCACAACTGAGGTTGGGTTGACGGGAAGCTCCAGGCAGTAGACTTCTTCCACAGCTTGCTCCCATGTTTGCTTCACTCCTCCTTCCAAATCACACAGCACTGCCTGAGGCCTTCCAACAGAAGTCAGCACAACTTTTCACAGTGTAAAAAGGCAGCCTATTTTCCCATAGCTTTAGGAGAAACTCTAGGTGAACACTTCAGAACAAGAAAAAATCCAAACAGTGCAGATTTCAGGGTAAATACCAGCCAGATGGTTATTTCAGCAGTTAAAAATATCTGAGAGCAGGGTCACAGCATGCTATGAGTTGCACACCCCAGAAATATCATCCTCACCTGTAGCACAAGAGTATTTGCTCCCAGCTTGCAGATCAAGTGGTCACAAAGAATGCAAGGAATTATTTTTTAGCGATTGCAGGCCCGTGTTCTAAAAACAAGAAGGAAACAGAATAAAGATTATAACTGCTACCAGCAACATGCTGAACACAATTTCCCTCCTGGCAGTCATGCTCTGCATATTAGTGCTTGCACAGATCAGCCTCAGCACTCGTATCTCAGACTGCCCACCAAATAAAGCCAGGAGGGGAAAAACGGTCATGCAGCTAATCAAAAGAAAAAAACAGGGCTTGACTTTAACTGAAGTTTGAGCTGACACTTGGGTTTTTAAAGAAGCAAGCCTCAAAAAATCCTCCCTTCTTTGATCTACCCACCCACTAAACTCATTCAGTTTTACTGTATTTCCCAAGCAGCTCATTAAACTAAAGTCAAATACAGTACACATAAAGCACGTCACGATAAAAATCAGGTCCTTCTATACTCTTAGCAGTTTATTAACCCAAATTCACCCTAGAGGTTTTTCAAAAGACAAACTGCATACCAAATAAAGTTTGGCCGTACAGTGAAGTTAAAGCTGTTTAACGAATCACTATTAAGAAAAACTGCTTTGGCATTAACTATAACATACAGTGATAATTCACACAGCCCGGGCAATGCCGTGAGCAATCCCCTACAGCGACAACAAAAACAAACCAAAACTGGGGAGCGGAGACTCAACACCTTGTACTACAGGAGAGCTCCCCTAAACCCTTCTTGCAGGACCTCCTAGGAAGAGGATCCTGCTTTCTCCCGGGGCTTTCCCAGCAGGAAAAGCGCTCCCTAAGGTTTATTTCATAGGGAAGAAATATGACAGCCGGGGCGCCGGGGGAAGGAGAAGCCACGACACGGCATCCCGAGGAAAGCCCGGTTTTCCCTCAGTCCCGAGGCCTGGGCCCCCCCCCCCGCCCTAAACCCAGACCCCCTTCCCTCAGGCCTCGGCCTGGGCCTGAGCGCCCCCCCCGCCCGTTTTCACGGTGAGCGCCCGCCTACACGCCCGCAGCCCGCTCCCGCCGGAGCGCGGGGAAGGGAAGGAAGGGGCCGGGCCGAGCGGTGGCACCGTGTCGTGCGCCGTTACCGGCCGGGGGGGGTGGAGGGGAGAGCGGGCAAAACCCCCGGCCCGGCCCGGCCCGGCCCGGCCCCGCTCACCTCAGCCCGGCCACCGGCCCCGCCGGAGCGCGCGCAAGGCCCCGCCCACCGCGCCCGGCGCTTCCGCGGGCGGGGCCACGTGTGCGGGGGGCGGGGCCTGCGCGGAATGGGGCGGGGCAAGTTGCTAAAGGGGCGGAGCCTCTGGGGCGGCCGGTCAAGGGAGACGTCTGTACGTGTCGTGCAAGGCCCGCGTGTAGGGGCTGAGGCACCTATATGTGTAGGTCTTGAACTGCTTCTATAGACCGTATGAGGAGCGTTTCTATAGGTTCTGTATATAGGGTCTGAGGGGCTTTTATACACAGCCTGGGAACACCCACACAGGTGGTCTCAGGCTCTTAAACATCAGTTCTGGAAAGGTTTGTATATAGGATCTTGGGGCCTGTATATATGGGTCCTGAAAGGCTAGTGTATAGTGTATGCAGAGCATGTCTATAGGTCCTGGAGGGCCTGTATATAGGGTCTGAGGGGCTTGTATATAAGGGCTTATATATACAAGTCCTGAAAGAGGTATGAGGGGGCTGCGTGTATAGGGTCTGCGCAGACACAGGGGCCAAAGGGGTCTATACACAGTGTCTGAGGGGTCCATATGCAGGGTTTGAGGTACCTATATGTAGGTTTAAAGGACCAGTGTAAAATGTCTGGTGTCTGAAGAATGCGTCTATAGGGTCTGCGGGACCTGCAAGCCCTCGGCTATTTTTGCCATGCCCTATTGAATGTCCCCAGTTTTATTTCCGCAATAGGTAATTTTCTCCCTCCAGGCAAACACTTCACATGCCGGAGGGGCTCCTCGCTCACCCATGGGCACCTGGAGCAGACAGGTGATGGAGGTGCCCTTGGTACTGGAAAGTGTACTGAGAGATCTACAAACTCAGCAAAAGAAGGATTAGGGAGCTCTTCTATATCAGTATAGAAATGCAGAAAATACGATTTTTCAGGCGTGACCATCTAAACTGCAAGTTATTTACTAGTATATGAACTGAACTGCTTTCTCTTGCTTTTTTTTTTTTTTTTTTTTTTTTCCCCCTGCCATATCTGGTTGAACATTTCTGTGTGTTTCCAATGATATTTCACTTTAAAAAACAATGGTATTTTCTTGTGAGAAATGTGTCTCATGAGCAGGTAGTTCTGTGGAATCCGGAACAGTTGCTGGCTCCAGACCTGCGGCAAGAAGAGCCAACACTGCTGTAGTGCGGCACAGCCTGAATTAGCAATGAAATAGAAATCATGGCCTGTTATAACTAACCCTCACCCTGCAAGCAATGCCTGCAAGACTGGTCGTGTAGTATTAACCACATCCTCCTGTTTCTGCATGGGTTTCCTCCCTAGGCTATTGAATTTATAAATAAAATCTTCATGGGAGGGTTTATTTTTCCCATTGGCCATAATATTTACAAAACATTAGGGGAATTATTTCCATTGAGCTGCCAGCTTGACACCTCCCACCACAATAAACTTCTAACCTATTGGGAAAGGGCTCAGGATGATGCCTGCAGGTAGGAAACCCTCTCCTTGATCAAGATACAAAAGATATCTGGGTCCCGCTGCTGTGACAGCATTTCCTTCATTCTGCCTGCAGCAGGTCCTTTCCAAATGGAAGGTGCTGCATGCGGCTGGAAAATGTGGGCATGGACTCTGGGTGGAGAAAAGTGGTGTGAAAGGAGAGAGAGGGGAGAGAGAGAAAAGCGAGAAAGGAGAGAAAAGCGAGAAAGGAGAGAAAAGAGAAAAAGAAAGCAAGAAAGGAAAGAAAGGAAAGAAAGGAAAGAAAGGAAAGAAAGAAAGAAAGAAAGAAAGAAAGAAGAAAGAAAGAAAGAAAGAAAGAAAGAAAGAAGAAGAAAGAAAGAAAGAAAGAAAGAAAGAAAGAAAGAAAGAAAGAAAGAAAGAAAGAAAGAAAGAAAGAAAGAAAGAAAGAAAGAAAGAAAGAAAGAAAAGAAAGAAAGAGAAGAAAGAAAGAAGAGAGGAAGGAAGGGAGGAAGGAAGGGAGGAAGGAAGGAAGTGATATGACGAGAAGAAATGGTCTCAAGTTGTGTCAGGGGATCTTTGAATTGTATATTAGGAAAAATTTTTTTCATCAAAACGGTTGTCAAGCACTGGAACATGCTGCCGAGGGAAGTGGTTGAGTCACCATCCCTCTGTGTGTTTAAAAGAGAAGTTGATGTGGTGCTTAGGGATGTGGTTTAGTGGTGGAGTTGGCAGAGCTACAGTAACGGTTGGACGTGGTGATCTGAAAGGCTTTTTCCAACGTAAAGAATTTGATGATGGGGAGGGGAGGGGGAGGGAGGGGAGAGAAGGGGAGGAAAGGGGAGGGAAATTATGTGTGCAGCACTTTTCCGTGTGGAAACACTCTCCAGAGTCTTTGAAAAGACCTTACTTTCTTATTTGGGGTGCTTAGCATGGTTTTATTCATACTTCTAGGGGTTATGCCCCACACATATAGGGCAGGGACCTCCCCAGGGTCAAATGCCTCCGCAACAACACAGGGGGCTGGCAGGAGTGCATCCCTCCTACAGCACCCGCCTTTTAACAGCGATGGGTGCTACCCAGAGAGGCAAAACACAATAAACTTTTCTATACCGGATTTATCGGAGAGGAAAGCAGCAGCAAGGCCAGCCCAGCAGCACTATGATTTCATTTCATCTCATGCACTAATGAGATTTAAAATCAGGCAAGTGCATGCCTGCACGCCTCACCCAAAGGGGGGCTTTTTTTGGACAGCAGAGTTGCTGGGAAGGAAATGGGACACCTTGAAAATAAATGTGGCCCAGTGTCATCAGCAGCTGGGATTTGGGGGAACAAGAGTTGCTCTTCCAGGACAGAGCAATGCCCAGGAGGCCCCATCCCAAACGGTTCCCATGGCAGTGAAGGAACATCATCTTTTTCAGCTCTCTCTGGGGCAGGACAGCCCCAAGATGTAAACTTGGAGGCTAATTTTTGAACGAAGGGAGGGACCCCAGCAAACCCAGTCGAGGGATGCTATTTTCTCTGGGGTTGTGGGTGGGTGCATCGGCTGCTGCGGCTGTGCCCGGCGGCTCAGGAATGGGATGGCAGCAGGAAGGGAAAATGAGAAAGGCACGCCTGGGTCATGTGCGCCTCGGCATCTAGATCAGAGGGAGGATTCACTGCTGGGAAGGCTAATTTTAGGTATTTTAATTTTAGTTGCTTCCAGATGCCTCTTAGGTTGGGTCTCTTCAGGCTTTAATGAACACCCCACTAAAAAAATACTTTTTCTGGAGGCATAAATAGACAGTGATTTCTCTTCAGGAACATGGGAGGCTGCTGATTCCTGCCACTGCCCTCCTGCAGTGAAAACACTGCAAGGATTTCTAGGACGGACCTTTTGGCGAGGCTTAAGGTGATGCCAGGAACTTGAAGGGGTCACTGCACGGCTGGGGTGCGGCGGCACGCAGAGGTCTGGCCACCTCCGATGGAAACACCGGACCCCAAAAGGAGACCACGCCACAGCGGGCAAATGCTGGCATGTTTGGGTAATTCAGGGTTTATAGCTGAGGTCATGCAATGGGCCAAGGACCGTCATCCTGCCCAGCCCAGCGGCATTTCCTCATCATAACTTATTGCTCCATGAGCAGCTGTTGCGGTGCTCAGCTTACGGAAAATGGCCAACACCGTTTCTTTATCGGCAGGTAGACTCTGCCCCTCTATCCCAGGGTTGTGCTGTGTAATCTGCATTAGCCTGAAAGCACCAACTTTTCCTCTAAATAAAAAGGGGCAAGATGCACTTGGGCCTGGCACCCTACCGAACTTACTCATCCACCCACACCTCATGTACCTGCAGCGTTTTTCACGTGCATCAGCCTCTGTGTGAAGGATTTTGCAGATTGATATGATTGATGTGATCATCCCTGGACTTTTATAGGAATAAAATAAATCCTATATTTAAATAACACAAAGAAAATGCTGAGCCTGTGGACTAAGAGACTATTTGGGTATCTTTTGTTTCTAGCTGGCTTATTTAAACTAAAAACTTTGGGCCTTGCTCAGGTCTGAGCCAAAGTGTTGAGTGTGCCCATGGCTCATCGCAGCTTCACTTTCTCTTAAATAAGTATTTAATTTGCAGGAGGACATCATCCACGCCTCCATCAGCAGTATCAGGATGGTTGATGGGAGTTTGAGGCTTTAGCTTTCCACTTCGGTCTTTCCCACAGCAATAATATTAATTGGGAATGCTGGTGTGCTTTTCCCCATCAATTCTTCTCAGGAGCAGCTTTCCAGTATTCAGCCATCTATAATTATAAGCACCAGGAGAAAGCCTTGTTAAATACATTATTTTATTTAGGTTTTCCAAGAGTGGAAGATGCTTCTAGCAGCGTACTGGGAGCTATTTGACCTAAAAAGACGGGGTTTCGTTTTGGTGCCAATATCCTCACCCCTTTCACCCCCTGCACTCTTGAGAAGCCTTTCCCTGCTGGCTCGTATAATTGCAAAGGGTATTGATCTC